TTTCCGCAACGGGAGAGGGCCAGAGAAAACAAAAGAGCTTTCCTTCTTTCCGGCCGTACTCGTCGCACGTATTTTCAGCGGAGAATAATAAATCGGCGCCGAGTATCCGAGGCACCGATATCGCGGTCGTTCAAAAACTCACGTAGTTATGTAATTTATGACTATTTTCCGACGTCCTCTCCAGTCCGGTCGCGAATAAAAATCAGGGCAGAAAAGTATCTGCGTAAAGCATCGACCAATCGTGCATTGGTATAGGACAGTAGGGATAGATCGCCGGGAGACATTCCGGAAAATCGAAAGCTTATTAGCCAGTGGGAAACTCTTGACTCGAAAGATGATCGAGACTTTATCGTCCTAACTCCTATATCAATTGTTTTTTTTCTTTTTTAATTAACTCTGCTATTATTACTTGTTCTTATTTTAATCTCAAATTAATTAAAAAATGAAGTTTAAGATGAAATATAATAAGAATCTGCTAAAATATAATTAAATATAAGTAAATAACTTCGAAAAAGCGTTATTATTTTTATAATTTACATTAATTTATTAAGAATAAAAAATAATAATTTATGCCCCAAAAGAAAAGTGATTAATTTTTTATTTTTATGATATCATTATTTCTATTTTTGTTTAAATGTAAGTTAATTATTACGCTCAGATAGAAACAAATATATAAATTAATATGTAACTAAATGGCTTTTTTTAATTTGAAAAGAAATTTGAAATTTCATAACTTTATTCTCATTATCGTTATAATTATATCTCGAAATTCACTCGCACCAATCATTATTTATAAATTGATCTTTCTATTCTGTTCATTATCCATTATGTCGCGTTCTTCAAACATAACAAAGCGTGTTTTAAAGCTCTTTATTATATGGCGGAAAATACGGAAATTGCAGATATATATTTCCAGTTGGTCATTTTATTAAAAGATTATACGTGTACATAATTTTGATTTCTTAGATTTGGGGTAAGCGTTGTTCATGTGGACATGTTTATGGGTGATATTTGTATAGTTATTTTAAAATACGCCATACAATACAATTCATCTTTGTATCTATCATAAAAAAATATATGTTAATATATTATTAATCAACATTTTTCCAATCTATCAATCTTTCTAGCGAAATCTTATTGTATTTTCCGATAAACCTTGTATAGCATTTATAATTTTTTACGTTATTATTATATATGTAGAATATTTATGTTATTGTACTCTTAAGTTCCTTAACAAGCAAGTTAAAGTAGATAGGAAAGGATTATTATGGAGCAAGCTATTACTTTTTATATAATTATCAAATTATTCTTTGTTTGGAACATTACCGAAGATGAAACGCAATAAGCCGGCAATTCACGGGACAAGGGGGGGAAGGGAAAGAGGTAGGAAAAACAGCGATGTCAAAGAAGAAGTGAACGAGATCGGTAACGAGGAGACACGCGAATGGACACGGTAGCTCTGCGTATAGCGCGCGATGGAACAGAGATCGGTTGTTAAAAGAGAGGTGGCAAGGTGAGGGAGCGAGAGGGCAACGGCGGCGGGAGATAGAAAAAGAGGAGCGCGCGGAACTCGGGAAGGAACGCGAGTCGACGGAGCGCGCGGAAGGAGAGAGAAAGAGAGAGACGGAAAAACAAGAGCGGTAAAAATGAATCGATAGGCGGAGTTTTTCATGACGCGCCGCTAGAGGCGCTCCAGGTGGGGAGCGCAATAGGCGGAGTCAAGCTGATTTAGGGCCGCCATTTTGTGACAATGGACGAGAGGGGGTATGCCTATCTGATTGGCTGATCTACGGACTTCTCTCGTCCTGGACAAGCTTCTACAGATTGTTCGGTTGTACACACCGCCGGGTACTCCAGCCACCCGGCAACCCGGCAACGCTGCCACCCCACACCGTAGCTTCTCCTACCCCGTTGCCGACGCTGATGTGCTCTCTCTTCCCTCCTCCCCCTACCCCGCTGCTGTATCATCGTGCGCATACACGTACATACGTACGTGCGTACATATACACGGAGGAAACGCCAAGTCCCGATCGCGTAGCGGAGGAATCCTCGCGAAAAATTGCAAGCGTTTCGTATACAGCTCGCTCGTGCGCGCGCGCGCGCTTTTATCTGCCATCAGAAAATGTTGATTGCAATATTTCACTTCCGCTTAATCGAACGTGCCTGTTTCTCTCTCTCCCTTGTTCTTTTGGACGAACGTCGTCCAGACGGACACTATCGCGTGATCTTCAGCTAGGATTTTTAATTTGACAGAAACAGAAGAAGAAAACGCGCGAAGACGCTTTCAAGTGTCGATTATGCAACAGTCTCCTCGATGGTAGATTGATTAGATTCACTGGTTAGCAATCGCGAAGAATCTACATGACTCTTGCCTCACGACATTGCATTCTTGCGAAAAGTTAAGTATATGTGCCAAGAGTACTTTGTCGATTAAAACGCATTTTCCGAACCGGGTACGACTTGTTTTTGTTCAAGAGATTAGGATTCGAAGGATTTAAATTTATTTTAAATTTTTAAATTTGTCTAATATTATTTTTTTTGTTATCTTATATAGGAATTTTATTTTGACTGTTACGTGATTCAGTTGTAATAATAATAACTAATAATTGTGTGTGTCTTCGTCACAATTACATAATTTATCCAATTTTTATTTTAAGAAATGCATAAATTTTTTATTAAATCTTGTTCTATGAAGCCTGCTATTACATTCCTTATAAGATATAAGAAATTAATATTTATATGCAATATTAAATACAAATTTACGCCATTAAAAAAAATTTAATTATTTAATCTAAGATCAATAAATTTAGAATCTTATAATAGCAGGGGTCACAAAAACTCCGAATTTTCGAACACGTATCGTGTATCAAAACGATTATGTATCTGTAACATATCATCGCGGAAAAGCTTGAAGCCGTATAAAACACACCTAACGTCGAGCATGCGATGTAAACAAGAAGATTGCCGGTATCCGGCTACAATTAGCGTAGAAGCGATGCGAGAACAGCGGGCGCAGGCCAGAAAGTCTCGGCCGCGCTATCGGATCGCACGACCTGGGGCAACCTGTAACACGGTAGATTGTCGTTGTCGTCGTCGTCGTCGTCATCGTGGTCGTCGTCGCATCTCGCTCGGATTTCAGACTTCGGATTTCGGAGGGCGTGTGTATCTTAATCGCGGTATCTCATCTAGATAGGCCGCCGGCATCAAGATCGACGGGGCCCGCTCGCTCTTTCGCGGCGCGCGCGAGTTACGTGTCGTGTATATGCAATGTACACACGCGCGGCATATGCATGTGTGTATACGTTTCGTGCGTGTATTGTGCGTATATATACGCGAATGTGTATGTATCTAGCCGGTAATCTTCGCACGTGGGGCACGTGGCTCGCGCCGTTCGGGCTCTCGTTTTCCTCGATCCGATCTAAATTCGGATCCGGTCGATCGCGTGGAGAAGGCGCGCGTCTCTCTTTCATCACGGGAACCACACCGGGATTCCCACAGCCACCTCGCGCGCCGATCCGACGGAATTATTCAGCATCCCGCCGGCTCGTGCTGCGATCTAGATAACCGCGTTTTACGCGATCGGCCCGATTCCCTTTCCGTCGAAAAGTGCGTAAACAAGCTGAGTTTGGTCCCAACTGATCAAGGCATCTCCAGAATGAATTATTTTTTTTATATTCGAGTTAACTTTCTTCTCTCTTCTTTTTTATTTATGGATTAATTTATTTTTAATTTTTACTTAATAAGAATATTAAAGACATAAAAGATCTCGAATAATAAACACGAAATTTAAATTGTAATTTAAAGATATTTATATTAAGCCACTCTATGGAATTTGATTTTGTATCAATTGGTCAAACCATCTCAAAAAGTTCTCATTGCGGAGGAAGATTAGAAAAATTATCCGCGATACTTTCATTCATCATTGCACTATGATGATACGTTAGATTTTCGATTGGCCGGCGCGCTGATAAATTGCCAACGTAAATAGCATCACTCGCGCTGCAGCTCGCTGCAATATATTCAAAGTAGACTATAGAAATGTATCGTGCATGTGCGTCCTGATGGAACGATTTGGCACTGTTGAGCCGCGGTATCTGCCAATCGGTGAGGACTGCATTAAATCCGCCTGGGAACATTGAATTTTCCACTCGCGCGCGGGCGCGGGCGTCCCGCTGTGAACGTTCCGAATCGCATTCCGAACACTCTTTGCTCCGATATACTGTTGCTAGGTAGGACCAGCTATTTCCCGACTCGTAAATTATTTCCGTTAAAAGGCAAGCGAATCACTTATCTGCATGTGTGTGCGTGTACATTTCTCATTTATGAATTGACTTCAATATAGTCAGGATAAATTGTACGACTCGTCTGTGCATTTTTTTCTTGAGCGAAGGCATTCTCAAGAAATACTGACGCCGTAGACCCGATTTGCTCCTTCGTAAACCGGTACGGACAAGATAAATGACCGAAGTGGGCTCGATGCTCGAAAGAAATTACGCCTAAGCTAAGCGGGCACCGCCTTCTCTCATGAATATTCAGCTGGCCAATAGAAATCCGTCCCACGACGACACAGCCTAAAAATTTCAATAATATATCATCGATCGTGTCGGGCATACCGCGTCTCCATCTACCTCGTCCTCTCACTCCTGAGGTACGGACTCCGTATCCATTATTACCGTTATACCACGCTACTAATTTTATGAAAGCGCGAGGCACTTGTCCTCTTCCATCGTTTCTCTCGCATATTCTTGTCAACGGCGTTGACAGCGGCGGCAATAACATCGTCGCTGGAGGAGCGGTAGGTACGGCCATGGGCATAAGTGCATACGGGTGAACAACAGAGTGCACTTCTCCGTCGGAGCAGTGGGAGGGAGAGGGCAGTTACGCCCCTCCGGTAGGTTGGGCTCCGGCTGGGGGGGCGGCGCTAAGACTGACCGAACGGCGCCGAACGCTGACGAACGTTGCCGAGCGCGCGGGAACGTGGGGGCTCGTGCGGCGCAGTGTTTTCATGCGCTTAGTTTCGCGCCGGGTGCCACGACAGTCGCATCGAGTTGAGTTCGCGCGCGCGTGCGTGCGTTTTTTGGGGGAAAAAAAAGGAGAGGAAACCTGCGAGAAAGACTCTACAGCCGCACCTTATCTGCTCGATAAGACGAACCGCGACGAGAAGACGAGGGACGGAGGATGGACTAGGGGCGAATTTTGTGACGGAAGAAGGCAGAGTGCGACGAGAGTTCGCGCGCCAAAGTTCTACCTCGCAACGTGACGGGAACGGTCGTCGGGCTCCTCGTATATCGGGATCTTCGTTCTCCCGAGAGACGTCCGCGGGCAGACGGAGAAACGGAAAGAGAGGAAAAGCAGACGGAAGGTCGATCGATCATCCGATCAATCTGCTTGTGCGCCTGCCCCCTCTCCCTCCACCCACCCACTTCACTCACTCGCTCATCCGCCCGACGAGCAGAACTCCACGAACGCTACAATGTGCTGTGTGTGTGATGTACGGTGCAGTGTGTTGGTGCTAACTTAGTGATAACGATATCCCCTCCCCCGCCGCGTCTATCATCCGCGGAACCTACAACAAAACTAGTCGTCCTGTTATCTCGTCCGGGGATTGCCGCCGGGAGATAAGGTAAGAGCAGACAGCGTCGACGATCGTATATAGTTGCTTGATTATCCGCGTTGATTGTTTCGCGACGGGGGGGGCACCGCACCGCGGCAACAGCATAGCCCAGCAGCGCCGCGCAAATAGGCACCTCGCGATTACTTGCTGGCTTGGGCCTTTATCCGAATCCACCCTGCCGAGTCGCTTTTCCAATCTTTGGCGCAAGCCGCGTTCGTCACAATAATACGTAAGTTAAGACTTACCGCAGCGCGCGAATAGCAAACGTGTTTAACTTGTTTTGAAATTTGCAAATGTTAAATTGCGAGCAGTGTAAAATTTTATCTCAATCGGATGATGTGTTACGAGAAGGAAATCAATTCGCGTTACGTATCGTACTTTCGCTTCTAAATGCTTTAAATATTCATGCATAATTAGGTTGGCGGGATAAAATCGAGCTCACCTCGTCTATATGCGGATAAAGCGTCGCGATTCTATATCCAGTATTATTAATAATTATAAATCATTGTGCTTTTATATACTATTCGTCATCGAGGTTATTTGCAATGCGATCGGTGACCGTCACGTTGCGTGCTATTCATTTCGTGACAGATTTTTTTTAGGCACGGTAAACAACGCGGCTTATTGTGTGATGTCGATATTGCAGGAATAGTCAAATCAAGAGTAGGTTTCAAGAGTTTCAAGAGTTTCAAAGAGATGATTCAAGATACATTTCAAAATCACTATAACAAAAATGGAGGGTTATTTATAATAAAAATAATTAGAGAAACGTGAAGTCGGCATGTTGAAAATTCATCTGGTCCGTCTAACGCAAAGTTATTAGGAAATGTTTAAGCGGTCGAACAATCCGACTGGTTTAGCATCTCCCGCGATGTCAATCTTTCTGGAAATGCGATTGAATTGATTTGTTTACCACCTATTATTGCTCGCGAGTCTTTCTATGTCTTCCATCTGCAACGTCTTTTTCGGATAATCACAGAATTCTTAAAATAATTTGTTTACCACCTATTATTGCTCGAGTCTTGACGTGTCTTGAATCAACAACAAACAACTACATCTTTTTCGGATAATTATATACAATTCCTTGCCTTGCGAAAACAAGATGAACCAAGCTGAGCGAAACTGTATCGAGAGTTGAAGCGAAAACTGGATATTCAGATGAATTTCGAAGATGCAGGTAGACCGGTCAATAAACTAGAATAATACAAACGCGTGTGACCTGCTTTTCGTGGACCCTTTTTCGACACCCTGTCGTAACACAACTTTACGCTCGTCAAAATGTCAAATTAATGTCCTCCGGTGATTTTCTTCAGGGGTTTGAGAATGTAAGCGTCATTTATAGTTTCTCGTTGAAATGGCCTAATGGTTGTAGGTAAACCTAAAACGCAGTAGGGTTCCATTTGTGGTTTCTCGATCTTGTTACGTCTCTTATTTTCTCAACGACAATAGGGAATTACTTTCAGCACTCTTGTTTCTCCAGCCGACCATCATCGTTTATAAAAGACTCGAAAGAAAACAAAAAATTTTTTTCGGCAATTTTTAATGACTTAAGTAATTATTGAAACATGTAAAATCCCAACGTGCCTACAGTTCACATTATGTTTGAGGTGAGACTGATGATTGCAGTTGCTGGGTTTAAAATTACACAGATAAAATCGAGGATTCCCTATCAGTGATTTTTTTCCTTCAAAATATTTATTGCTTGCCATTGAATACGAATATTTTACAATCTCTGGATACGTAAAACATGTTTTATGCATTTACAATAGTGTTGAGTTATTGCAAATTTATGCTTATAGTTTAAATAATTTGATATCGAATAACGAACGAGCGAATAACAATTAATAGTAAAGCATTTATGAGTGTGATACGAACTGATGTGATATTTGTGATATTTTTTATTTAAAACAAATAATTTTCTAATTTTCTCTTTCTTTCTTTCTCGATCTGTGCCGAAATAGCGTATAGTTTCATCAGTTTTCTTTCAGCAAATGATACCCCGGGGTACTTCGCTGATGTTAATCCAAAACTTTGTTAGGTATATAATTGGAAGAAACGCGCTACTTTTCTATTTCTGCCGTTATAGGAATTCTTTCGTGAGAATAACTCCGATTGCAATTATTATTATAGCACTGGTGCTAATAATGTTTATAGCATTGCGAGAATTCGCTATGCAATTGATTCTTTTTCGATATTAGCATCATAAGAACTTACTTAATCTCTGCAGTATTTCTCCGAGTATCTCCCTTTTTTGTGATTCCTGGTTTTAAGTAATTTAATTATCGCTGGTAACGTTCCAAAATTAAATATCATGACGTATGGACAAATCGTTTTTTATCATTAAAAATAGATGCTCAAAACTGATATAGTTTTTATTATACTTTAGATTTTATTATAGATATATAAAAATATTTTTTGTAAACGTGATGGTTGATATAAAACACAGAATTATATTTACTCTCGTCGAAATTATTGTCAAATTTCTAACTAAATAACTTGTATCTTTCATAAGACATTTAGTGCTTTTATAATATATGACAGCGATTACACGTCTCTAATATCGTTTGCATTTTCACATGAATGAAATTCACTTTTCTTCTTTTCTACTATCTCGTAAAAATATATCTTTTCTGCGGGAAAGGACGTATAAGAGACATCGGAAGAGGAGAAAACATTAAACGGCGAATCATAAGGCATAATTGGATATTTGCAAATGTAATAGACATACTGACGGTATAAGAGAAATAGAGAGACGTGAAGTTTGGCTAGTATAATTTGGCTACTGTTAACAGTGTTAACTCGATGATAGAAAAATGCGGAGGCGATAATATTAATCCTTTGGTAGCAGCGACGGTAATATTAACCCTTTACGTTCTGTCTTGGATATTTATCTAAATACAAGTAACATAAGAGAAGTTGCGATACATTAACGTATTTATACTTTCAATTTATTTGAATCTCACCTCACCTGTCATAAAACACATACACACCTCGACAAACACTTGATATATCTTTCCTAATTTTACCACGAAGGAATGTTCATAGAAAGACTCCCGCACACTCTCAGAAAAGAATTCTAGATACAACACTATTAGGATCGAAATAGGGCCAATCATATTTTAATCTTAAATAGAAGAATTCTTAAATTCTATCTAGACTTCTAGATAGTATATTGTTTATCTTAAATAGAGGAATTCTTAAATCTAGAATAAAATAATCTTGATGCTATCCCTCTAATTTTCTCAGAATTATTCTAGATTCAAGAATTCCTCTATTTAAGATTAAAATATTCTTCTTTTAATGCTAAATATGATTGGCCCTATTTCGATCCTAATAGTATTGTATCTAGAATTCTTTTCTGAGAGTGCACGTCGCGCACTCAATCGTCATCGCTCGCTCATCTTTTGCGCATCCTATTAAAGATATTTGTGATCGTTTCATTATTTCTGAGAAGCGAAGAAGTATACACAAGGTCGACGTCTGTTCTTCCTACCTACATCTCGAAATTATCGTGAAATTGTCCTCGAAATTTTTGTTGCCTGCGCGCGTCGCAAACCCTTTCGCCCAAGAAAACATTCTTCAAATTTAACTTTTGCCTCGAGCGCTACAGGTTATCCCGTAAACAAATGCCAATGTCCCTTCGAGCTTCAAAATTCAAGTTTTTTTCCCCTTTCTTTTCGGATCAAGGCGAGTATCGTGTTACGATATCTCTCGGCGGTTAGAGTCTCTCCCGCGTTCTCTATTGTTTCGTTCCCGATCCGTCGGCCGAGCGCGTTGGACAGACCGGCGCGGCCGCGGGCCGATCCGAGCGATCCGAGCGATCCGAGATCCGCTTTTCGAAGTTGCGCTTGCCAAACGCGTCTCTCCTCTTATTTCCATGGTCGTGACAGCGCGTGTCACGAGCTGATGATTCCATTCTTCACCTCCCGACTCCCGACGCGTTTCGACGGGCGCGCGAGCGAAACAGTATCCATTTTAGGGTTTCAATCAGGTTATTATTGCAAACCACGCTTCGTGAGTTCGTGATGAGTCCGATCGGTCCATATGTCACACGTGTTTCAAACATGACACTAAGATCTTGAGACACGGCGACACTTGATGCAGCAAGATTAAGTGTGTGAGCGAATAGTGTGATTTTGTGAAATTTTCGAGCGGGTTCGTTGAGAAACGTCATCCTTTTTTTACGCTGAAATTGTTCAATAATTTGAAACTGGAACCAGTGCTGTTCTGCATGCATCTTGGAAGCAAAAGGAATATAATGTGTTATAAAAAAAAGCATTTGCTTCTTGATCTTGAAGCCGCAAGGCCAGATTGGTCGCTCTATTCCGAAAACGTTGAAACGTGCTGACACAAAATCGACGGATTCTATTGTTATTCTACTCTATTCACATTGTGATATAGGTGAAATCGTGTTATCGTCGGTTCCAATTCTTTTCCAGTCTTCGAAACCTCCGTTAATTTCGACGTCGCATGTTGTGTGTGCGTGTGTGTATGTGTCGCGCTCGATAGTGTGTATTTTCGATATAACCAACGCTGTCACGACGTTACGCGGACACTTTTGAGGAGATTAACGAATTTCGATAAGATTAGCGATGTGATACGTGATCGAGGAGTTCACGCCGATGGAGTTTCGTCGAGAGTGGACACAGTGATGTAACTCAGAGTAGATAAGATCCACTAGATCGGCGCAGTCGGGGTTTAATGAAAGTAAAATTAGTTTGTCGGAAACACAAAATCAAATCTTGGCGCTAATCACGAGCGAAATTCCTAAAACGCCTGCTTCTCTCGTTTCTGTTAGTTACGCGAAAAATATCAGATGTGATTTACGGCGTATCAGATAGCCAGATAGCCAGATGGAAAAACGCACGATTTTAGATTAATCGCGACGGAGGGAAGGTTAATTTCTCGCGCGTTTTAATTATTAGCGTTACAATTGAGACGTGTACAATAAATCGCGATATCGCGAGGGAAGTCTATTCGAAAACTCGTTAATGTCGATGTACTATTACGATCGATGAGATCATCTTTATCGCAATGAGCAAATGTACATGAATAGTATACGCTTATCAGCTATAATTATTTCTTCGGCGGTTCAACGGACGTGCTCTAATTTGCTCGAACCTGTTCTCGTCACGGTCGCCGTATGTAATATTTACGATATATATATATATATAACGACGCCGAGATCTAGGAAGTAACCGCTTATCGTCTTGTCGTCGTGGTTCACTCGAAAAGTCCGAGTATTTTTTTCAGCCTGTCCTTCGTTTTCACGTACGTCGAGTGTCGTAATCTCTCGCTCGCGGTTAAAGTCTACGATATTTTCGTCTTGGTTATCTAGCCCGGGGTTTTTATCGTGATTGTCAAATCGATGAAAAACCCAATTCACGATCTGTACGAGTGATTGAAAGTGCATATCGGTCAAGAGTTCTGATTATCTAGAATCGAGCGCCCCTCTTATTAGATTAGACAATTTCCTTCACGTTCTAATTTTCAGTAGTAATTACGATTGAAAAAGACGAACTGTCAAGAATCTATTAGAATAGCAGAAGGGAAAAAAGAAGCAGGAAATAAGAAATCAGCAAAAAGAAACGAGTTTCCTTGTTAGTAAGTTGGTTTTTTTTGTTTTGTTTAAGAACGAGTTTCGCGTATTAGTAATCATTTGAAACTGTGAGAATACCCATATATATTCCCAGTGGTAAATATTCAAGCATGCTAATGATTTAAACGACCGCTGTAATATGGCCGCGATAAAAATAAAGTACGCGCAGGCTCGCGTGATTTATATTGCCAAAAAAATATTATTCCGATCGTGAGATATCTCTGAAAAGTAATCGCTCGTTCGTCTTGCGATCGTGTCGGGCGATACGGTTTGATTGATCTGTTCAAATTTAGTTATATCTATGATCGATCGAGTCCGCGATTATCTTTCCGACGTTTTTGGCGATAACCGCCTAAATTGGGCGACAATTTAGAACGTCATACTTTTCGGTACGCCTAATTAATGAGCTGCTCGATTGGCATATTACTCGCGATGTTAAATGATAATTGAATATATTCATAAGAAGTATCTAGACCAATTAGGAATATAGGGTTGCGTTAACGTTTGTGTTACACGTTGTAACATTGTTACATTATTAGCATAGCTGATAATAGTATTTTAACGTATGAAATATATTTGCAGAAATATATGTACGTCGTATATCATATAATACTTACATTAACAATAAACGATGAATCTCGATAGCTCGACAATCAAAATTAATCGGATATGCGTGTCACATTCCGGGCGGTATCAATCTTATCGATATTTCGTGTGTATCTTATCGCGCATTGTTTTTCGAGTGTTTTATTTGCTCCGGGCAAGAGTGATTTTTAGCGCGCAGCAAAAAGAAAAAGAGAAAAGAAATGTAACGTCCGAATTTGTCGAAACAACCACCACCGTCGCCACCACCGCCATCGCCGTCACCATCGCGTCGTTCTTTTTGCACGTCGAAAGATTCACTATTTTGCGGCTTCGACTGAAAATGAAACCTGTTGACCGGCGTAACCGGTTTCGCGAGAATATTTTTTTTCCGCCGTAGAGCCGCGAACGCACACGCGGCGTTTTTAGTTCCTCGCGACAATAAAAATTCACTTCACGCGGGAACTTCACGATCTACCGAGGAGATAGTTATCTAATATTTCCGAAAACGTGTCCCGATAAGAATCCCGTCGCTGCTTTCCGCCTCTCCACGCGGGGGCCACCCGGGCCACCGTTCTTCTCTCTCGCCGTCCCTTTTCCTCTCCCGCTCCTCTATCTGGATTGGGCGATTAAACCTACCTGTCCCGGTTGCGTCATCGATGACCTTGATCGCCCATAAGCTGATTGATAAATCATTTCGAGTATTTGATCGTCAATCGTTGATACTCAGTTTGTTCGCACTAAAGCGCTGATCAGGACCTAATTACCGTAGATCACGCTGATCGATTATCGAAATTCAACCCGTTACGCTAATTCAACGATCGGGGTAAGTTTTTTTTCCTTCGAGCATTTCCTCCGCTTTTATCGAATCCACGATATCGAACGGAAGGATTTCCATTAAAACTCCTTTCTTACGTAAGCAAGAATCTAGCGGTTTGATCGGAAAGGCGCGAGCATGTAACGTCCATAAATAAATCTGAAATCTGAAAATCAGAAAAGTAACCAAAAAACCCAGAAATAAGTCTGAAAATTTATACATCAGTTTTGATATCTATAAAAATATTTGCATTCTGCTTAAATCTCGGCTTAAATCAAAGTAATAAGATGTTGCTCAAGATATTTGTTTGCTCACATATACGTCGTGAAAAGTTCTTGATCTCTTCAGGTATCCATGTCCAGGTATCGTGAGTATATCGAGCAAAAGTGAATTTACAGTGAAATAAAAACGTCGGATACAGTGATCTTTTTTTTCTACCTCCAGTTGCCAATGTTGCCATCAGTTACCGAGTCAGCTCGACGAAGCAAGAATAGCGCTTCGTTTCGATCGCTTGCGAATCATCTCGCGTCTTTCCCGTTTTCGCGTCCGGTTCGCGGTAGAAAAAGAGAGAAAAAGGGAGAAAGAAGGAGAGAGAGACGTCTCAAAACAGGCGGCGCATTATGCAGCATGTACGCGATGAAAGAATCATTGAAGCGTCTCGTGTTTCGGTATTAATTTACTGCGTGCGTGTCCGCCCTGCTCATGACACGCCGCGTTCTTCCTTTTACGCGACAAGGGTGATATCGGCGGAAAGCCGGTAAGGACGCCACGTAAACCGGTGCGGCGCGAATGGACGGGCGTAGCTTGTCGTCGTGCACGTTACAAAGTTGTTCATTATCCCGTACCTACAATCGTGTATCGCGGTTAACACGATCGCGCCCAGAATCCGAGAAAGTCGGGCCGAGCCGAGCGACGGCTTTATTGAAATGACGTGTCGAGAGAGATATCGCCGGAACGTTATCCTCTCGCGGTGAAATCGGGGGCTATTGATCGATTAATTAATATAGCAATAATTTTCGCGGATTTGACAGTGTCTTATTAAAGTCAAGTCTGGCTGCCGCGCGTATCACCTGCTACTGCGAATGATATAATTAATTAATGCGCCGTGCGCGCACGTGTCTAGGCCACTTAACGTGGTCGTACAAATCGCGGAATTATTTATTGCTAATAAAGTTAGAATTTTCCCACCGTGCGGCGCGGATCGCGTGGATCGCGTTTGACTAAGCACTCCAATTAACTTCGTTCCACATTTGCATATATCTCGTGCATCTTATGGATAATACTTGGTGTTGTAGTAACTGTATATTTTAAATCGATATCAAACGCGCTTCTGATTATTATAATTTACTCCTAAAGGGTACCTAAAATAATTCCGTATGTTTAGACTTCTTAGATATATCTTTCGGAGTTCACTGATCATATGACTGAGACATTTTTTTTTCGCCGCACAATAGAACAATTAACGCGAAACAAAAAATAATCAATTGAGATGAACAAGCAACTGAACTAACCCATGTCGTTCGATGTGTTTCGCAGGACGGAGGCCAGGAAGAGGTTTCTTTCGCTCAGCAAATCAGACAAAGATTACCTATGATCCCACTGAGCGTCGCGAGGACGACGGAAAAGGAAGAGAGGCGTTTTTGGCAGTACTCCTAATCTTCTTCTCCGACCTGCCGCCCGTTCTCTCTCTCTCTACATTCCGCTTCTCCGTCCCTCTCTCTCCTCCCTCTTCTCACGACTCCTCCTCCCGCCGTTACTTCACCTGCTCGTTCTTCGACAAGCGATCGCGACGCACCGAGATCTCGTTGGACACGATGGACATGAGCAGCGAGTCAAGCGCTAGGACGTGGTACGAGACGCCTAGGTCGTTGGAGCCGCCTTCGGGGGGCGCCGGCGTGACTGGAGTGGTCGGCAACGATTACAGGGGTTACTACCCTCATGCCGGACCGACGGCGCATCACCCCGCAGCTGCGGCACACTACGCCCACAGTAAGTACACATCATGCCGTTCTCTCTCTTTTCTTTAATCGCTTACATCTTCCTATCTCTCTCTTTCTCTTTCCTCTTGCTTTTTTTTAATCTTCCCGTTTTTCTCTCTGTTTTTCCTCCCCGAGAAGCTGTCGTCGCGGTTCAACGACCGACTGCTCTCGCCGACATTTCCTTTGAAGACTTAGCATGGTCGAAATTAAAAGAAGCGAGAGGAGACCCTCGAGAAAGGGTCTTACCTTTTTTTTAGCGGCGGATACCGTGCTGCGCTATTAAGAAGATAATACGTATAATCTTCGAGCCACTTTGTAGCGTTATCGATTGAAATCCGCCTCAGTGATGCGTGCACGGCAGAAGCTCTCTTTAGCAATACAGCTTGTCGCGAAAACTCGCGGCTTCTTTGCTCCTTCGAATGTTGAGTATTACGAAAAAAAATGACACGATGTCGAATACACTAGACTTAGTTGAAGCGAACCCTTTAGCGAATCTATATGATGAAAGCACACTCTGCATGCTGTTGGCTGGTTCTCGCGTGTTTCACGTTGCCGTTAGGTCAACGACCGTTGAACAGTCACCTCTCTGCGGGCACTACTCATTAATTAGAATTTCTATATTTAATTAACGAGGCGTCTCCGAGGCTATCAGCGCCATCGAATGTCTCCCCTGATGCATCGCCATTTCGCCTCTCCCCCTCCTCCCCTTCTCGCTCCGACTAGATACCTGCCTCGATAATTAAATTTCTACCGCGGCTGATAGGCATGTGACATTGTACCACTGGGAGGCCCGGGAGAGTGACAACCGTAACATGCCATTGGGACAGTTTCTTAGCGCAGCGCTAATCCATCTCGAGCCCCCGAATACAGGCGACAAGGCAAACCCCCCTTCGAGATGCTCTTGAATGTGCACTTTCGAGCACACGCGAGTGCGTGTTGTGTACCCACGTGCCACGTCTTTTTTTCACGTGTCGCGTACACTTAACTCCGTTCGCTCGTGGCCTGTAGATACGTCCTCTTGATTCTCGCCAGGCAAATGACTTTCCATTTCGAACAGCGCCACCCTTGCCCACTTCTCCGGCGTGAGTGACAAGACTTCTCTAAGCGAGAGGCAGAAACGCGCGGCAAAAAGCAAGTACGATTAGCGTGCTACCGGCGTAAAATAAAGGAGAAGCGTAAACGCAGGAAACGTGTGATTAGTTGTTCGTAAAAAGGAAGTCTTCCTGGGAGATAACGTAACTGGGGGATAAAGCAACAACATTTGACAGTTATGTACAAGGGAGAAGGTAAAAAATATAATTAAATATGGAAAAAGAAATAGATGAGGTACAGTGAGAGGGAACTGCGAACGCGATCTCGAGAGAGATTATATTAGCAACTTTAGAAATTAAAAAACATGTTTTTTTGCAACCATTTTATTTGGTATTTATTTTATGTAATAATTGTTTAATGAACTGTAGTGACAGAAATTGTCGGGAATAAAACGAAAGTTAGTAACGCCTTCTCCTGAAAATGACCAATTATTTTAATTAGCAATAATCAGTTTTAATTTTTGTTCTTTGGTTTAGCACATATGTTTTAAATTACATATCGTCAGTTTTATCTTGAATATGCTGCTAATGCGTAAAGCGAATGCGAAATTTTCTATTTCTCCGTATATAATTTAGTCAATAATGAACAAATTGCTCCTCTCTGTTTTTAACTCTATGCTTTTAAGAAATTCCACGCGAGAAAAGATTTCACGGCCTCACGCAAAGAGAAAAAGAGAATCGTTTCGAGGAGAGGCGCGCTAGGCCGATGGTGTGTACACTCTAGATGTACGTAATCTCGATAGCTCCTTCGGTTCCTCGCCGTTAGCCAAGCATGAAAAAGCATAGCGTAGGTAGAGAAATATAGGTGTAAGATAGAGGACATAAGAATGAGAAGAGAAGAAGAAGACAAAGGAGAAAAAAAAGAAAAGAAGACGAAGAAGGACGAGACTAGCGTTTCATTTCGAGTCTCTTCGACGCGCCGAGGAAAATCCAAAACAAGAGGAAGGAAGGAAAAAGAGAGAACGTCAGGAGAGGGACAAGACGGAGGACAAATGACGGACGAGATGAGAGAAACGAGAGGGAAGGCAAAAGGCCAAAAAGTGCGTGAGGGACCGAGGAAGAAACACGATAGGGCCGGGCCAGATCTTGAGGCCCTGGAAGGCGATATCCCTGATTCGTGCCGACGTGCATGGATCATACTCGACTCTCTGTTAGCTCGTGGCCCCCAAAAAACGGCGCCCCTAATCAGAATCAAATCTGCTGTCCGATTGTACGTCGAGACGACGCGGAAAAAGCGCGGAACTTCTTGCGACTTCTGGGCCGCTCTTGCCGGGGCACATCCGTGCGTCGGCAATTTCTTCTTCCGCCGACAGAAATCCGCCGTTTCACTCGGCGGACGATCGGTTGCCTTTGATTTTCATCGCTCGAGATACGACCGCGTCGGAAAATCCCCGAGCCTCGCTCGAAGCGCGTCCCGAGTTTTGACAGCCGCTGATGAGTAGGGCGGAAAAATGTCGACAGCTAATGAACGTTCATCTTTCGAAGTACTTATGATCTTAATTACCATGGCGACGTTACGACAAGTTAATCCGAAAATGGTGGTTTAACTTATAAGTGTATGAAAAGTGTGAGTCTGCCTTTTCATAAATAAAACTACCGACAGTATCTGCAAGTAAAACTATATAGAATGCATGCAGTAGAACTGCGTAGTCAGAATTCTTTAACTTAGGAACTCCAACAAAACTAAATTAAATCACACTATATTCGCGAGACGCTTTCACGCACACTTGACGCCGAAGCCGAGATATTTCCCTCCGACGGAGCCACATTCAGCGAGAGAGACAGAGAGATGGAGAAGAGAGCGGGTAGGAGAGGGAGGAAGAGATGGGACAACGAGAAGTGATGCTAAAGAAGGAAAAAAAATAAATAAACAAGATAGGCGGACGCGCACGGAGAGCGGGATGCATAATACACAGTGGTTGCGGCACAGACAGGAAGGAAGCGCAGCCAACCGCGAAGCCCGCGGGGTCTGAGAGAGGTGCATACGTAATTGCGGGACCACGCGGGAGGCTCTCTTTTCTCTCTCTATCTCTCACTCTCTCCATCTCTTTTATAAGTTAGATCTTGTCCCTTCCTCGCCATGCTCCTCTCTCTTCTCCGCCGTGCGCGATCCCGTACCCTCGTCGTCGTCGTCGACGATGACGATGACGATGACGACGACGAAGGAGAAGAGGATCCGGTGTTGTTCATCGTCGGGCTGGAGAGCGGCACGGCGAAACGCGGCCGGCCGACGGCGGCGTCGTTCGCGCGCGTTGCTCCGGTGTGCAAAATGTGTGCAACCGCGGCACACACCGACCGACCGGCGCCATCTTGCGCAAATGCACACGCCAGCTGAAGGCGGAGCTTCTCCCGAAGGGCCTCTCCGTCGCTCTCTCCCGTCGTTTCTCTATCGCTATCTCTTTCTTCCTCTCTTCTCCGCTCGGTCTCTCTCTCTCTCTCTCTTTATCTCTCTCTCTCTTTCTCTCTGTCTAGTTCATCGTAGCAGATGCAGCTTCACCGCGATCAATCTTCCTCCTCGTCGCCGCGTTTCGTTCCCTCCGTAGTCTCCTCTCACCTCCGACACAGACATAGTGTGATTCCTCCGCTCTCTGCGGTAGCTCCGCAACCCGGACGAGAAGGTACATCGTCCGCCTCCGTTGCTTCCGCGCTTCGGGAATTTAGGGTAGATTTTAGAACCGATTCTACCAACGCTGCGATTAAATCTCGCCGGTGTTTAAACAAAATTCCTTCTCCCGACCGTAATGCCGTAGATAATAAACGAAAAACGGTATTCGGAAAAATCGTATTTTGTGTTCCATAAAAATAGCAAAGAGTTGCACTCGCGACTACCGGCGGTCGATCTTTGACTTCGACATGGAACTCTTCGTGAAAAGGGAATTCAATTTCGTGGAATGAATTTCTACTTACATTCTCTTAAGCCGTATATTTTTCGCCTGAGTACACTTACCCCGATCGCCTTTTTGCGATCGAGAGGGAAAGAAAGAGAGAGAGAGAGAGGGAAAGGCTTGATCGGACGGGTGGATAGGGGTGAAATTGCATGTTATTACGCGAAAGCTGCTGGGAGGGGAGAGGGGCGCCTGACATGAAATGAGACGTTATTTTCCACGGGAATTTCGTGCACGTACCGGGATTATATTATAAGACGCGCGCGCGAGAGCTCCCGCAGCAACGGGGCGGCTCCTTAACCCGTGGGATACTTTCGGGGCATTCCGGGGCTTAACTGGCCCTCGGCGGCAAACTGCGCCGGCCCTCCCCGCGCGCCACGGATCTTCTAACGAAAGTCATTCGCGCGAGAATCGTTAACTAGTTATTTCGCGCGGAGATTGCGTGCGTCTCGCCGTCGTTGTTGCGGGCGATAATTGGGCCCCTCGCTAACCGCGAGAATAATGACGCGCGAGAGCGAGTTTCCATCGGAGGATCTCTCTCTTTCGACGGAAAATGGAATTCAGCGGAGCGGCTCCTCGTCCTTGTCGACGCTCGCGATAACAATGCTTATCGCACACCGAGCGTGTGCGCGCGCGCGCACTCACGGTTAACGAGACTGCCGCGCAAAAATAATGCGTTTACGCGCGGTCGGCGGCGGATGTTTTTCAACCGAGGTGATATTTTAAAGCATATCATTTCTTATTCAACGACACTAATTGGAGCTTCGCTCGTCGAGCAGTTTCACGTATTTAAAAAATGTATGATCTGATTCGGATTCGTCGATGCTTATTTTCACCCCGTTTCATGTTTGTTATTTATTTATTTATTTACTTAATGATAATAAATTAAAGCACTACGTTATTCTATCGATGCTTTAAGGAAGTCATGATGGTGCAAACATCTCGACGCAAATCATCCACTATAAAATATATTTTCCGGAAAGAATCCTTTTCGTAGGATGTTAATGAACTGCCGCTTCACAGTTTACAGATCC